TTTTAAATCTTGGAATGCTATAATTGTGCAATAATTTAAAATAAAAATTCCCTTACATTGTTTATGACAGAATATTTTACTTTTGCCATTTTCAACTCTTATAAACTACCCTTTTACCAACATTAATGTGAAATATTTTTATTATAATCAATTTTTAAATATAATCAATCATAAAAAAAATTGCTATGCTGCATATAAACTTTTATACACGCTGACGCACACTTGAATCCTAACATTTTGCTCCAAAAATGAGCAAGCCTATTTTGCTCCGAAAAAATGTCATTGGTTTTTTTACCATAACTCGCTTAATTTTGAAGCTATAGTATCCTACAAAAAAGCTGTAAGATCGTTTGCATATAAAATCTTTAAAGTCCTTCGTTTTTTGAAAGGGAAAGGATCGAAGCGCTCGAGACAGGTCGTTTTTTCACTAATTGTAAAATGGATACTTCAAGCGGCAATATCTCCTTTATTTTTTGTGCTATAGGAATAAAAAAAGCAAAACATTTGTTGAAAAAAAAGCTACATTTTTGTTGTCTATTATTTTTTACGTATCTTTTATAGTTTCAGAGTTATTATATAAATAAGGCAATTTTTTTGAATAATGAAAAATACGTTTTCAACTTTTACTGTACATTATTAAAAAAATACGCATTCTAAACCGGACTAACTTCAGGATCGTATGAAAAAACATTAAAACAAAACTAATTGTAAAGGGTCTACGATTAGTTTTAATTCTGATGGAAATGGTACAGCGTTTACTGCTCATTTTTCCTTAAAAAATATGAGCAACTCATCTGTTTTGGACGATAATTCCTTTAATTTTGCTCTAATTAACTTCTATAAGTGCTCATTTTGAAGGTTTTTTTGAGTACTACAAAAAACTCCAGGAGCATTATATACGTAAAATTAATCCGTTTTCCGTTATTTACGTTGAATACATCGATTCAAGTATTCCCGCCAAAACAAGCCCCCTTCCACTAACCGTATTTCGCTTTGTATAGGACGTACAACACTTTTTAAAAAACGATTTTCTTTGTTTAGTTATAAGCTACATTTTTGTTCATTACACTTTTTTTTTAATAAAATGAGTAGTTTCGAGTTATTCGCGAAAAATACTTTGAAAAAATGTTTTTTTTTCACTCAAAATGATCCGAATATTTCTACTTGCACCAGTGACGTTTGTGCGAGAATTCCACATTTTTTTGACAAAAAAAAATGGTACGCCGTTGACTTTTTCCCGTTTTGATATTTTTATAGAAATTAATAAATAAAAAATTAAAATTTAAACACTCTGTATCTCGGAAATGAAGCATATTTTGACCTACCTTTACATCAACTTTTTTTCAAAGAATAACTTCGGCAACCACCCCCTAAAATATTTCGCACTTATTTACAAACACCCTCTATAACAAAATCATCCCTTGTTTCAGACTAAACCCTTGACAGTGATCAGTGCAGGAATGATCTGGTTGTTGGCCACAGGATTTGCCCTCCCTGATGCTATTTGCTCTAGGCTGAATCACGTCGTTATACCAGACAGGTAAGTTTAAATACGAAATAGTTTCTACATATTGTTATACACAGAACACCCCTAGCCTAAAGGCTTCTTAACTAATATAGAACTTAATGTTATGTAATATTAACGATATATTACGAATAAATACAACTACAATTTCTACCAAGGTCTCTACCTTTATACAGGGTGTTACAATATTGGAGATTTATTTTTATTGAAAGATAACACAGCCACACAAAAAAAAAAGTTGGGTATACTTTTTATGCGACATATATTTTTCGTAGTAATTTAGCCTCCTGAACACGAATCTGGGGTCAGAATTGGCCCATCACGTCACAATTTTTTCCTAACCTCAAAAAACTTGTGAAAAATAGTGAAAATTGATGAAAATTTACTGGGAAAATTTGGAAAAAAATTTATTTCCACATCAAATAGTACATTTTTATGTAAAAGACTCTGCTGAATTCAAATCCACTGTCAGAATTGAGCTAGAACGTGTGGTTTTTTTTCTAACCTCAAAAAACCGAGCAGGAATCGCTATTTTCAAATTCTGAGCGGATTTTGACCAGATTTTGTATAAAGGGGTTTTTTGGGTCGCTGATTACGAATATGAATTCACATTGTAAAAATTCAAGATGGCTGATCCAATATGGCGGGTGTACTTTTTTGAAATCCACCGATTTCAGTAAAATTTGGCATCATAAGGATTGCTGGTTGATCTCACCTTCATTAATCACACATCTGGAGCCAGATTTTCATAAATCAAGGTAAAATTTGTAGGCAGAGTCATAATTTTAGGCCGAGTAGGCGGCATTTTTTCGGCAAAGTCACATTTTTAGATTGAAGGCATAAGCAGATGCAGTGATGTGCTGTGTGGCAGTAATGTGTCCTTTTCCTTGAACTTTAAAATTATTAAGAAATAAAAGCATCTAAATGCCATAGGAAAACTGCATAGTAGTTAAAAAAATCTGATTGGAAAACCATAAGCCCATGCACGACTAAATAAATGAAAGAATAAAGTAGAAACTTTTTTGTCTTGTCCCATGGAAACAAGCACATCACACTACACATCATTACATGTGTAGAGTCCTTAAGTCATTTTTTTAAGCGAAGTCACATTTTTAGACGGAGTGGAATCTTTTACCTTGATTTATGAAAATCTGGCTCCAGATGTGTGATTAATGAAGGTGAGATCAACCAGCAATCCTTATGATGCCAAATTTTACTGAAATCGGTGGATTTCAAAAAAGTACACCCGCCATATTGGATCAGCCATCTTGAATTTTTACAATGTGAATTCATATTCGTAATCAGCGACCCAAAAAACCCCTTTATACAAAATCTGGTCAAAATCCGCTCAGAATTTGAAAATAGCGATTCCTGCTCGGTTTTTTGAGGTCAGAAAAAAAACCACACGTTCTAGCTCAATTCTGACAGTGGATTTGAATTCAGCAGAGTCTTTTACATAAAAATGTACTATTTGATGTGGAAATAAATTTTTTTCCAAATTTTCCCAGTAAATTTTCATCAATTTTCACTATTTTTCACAAGTTTTTTGAGGTTAGGAAAAAATTGTGACGTGATGGGCCAATTCTGACCCCAGATTCGTGTTCAGGAGGCCAAATTACTACGAAAAATATATGTCGCATAAAAAGTATACCCAACTTTTTTTTTGTGTGGCTGTGATAATTCTTGATGAAGGACGTAAATTGCGTAAAACTTACTTAAGTCAAAGTTGCATAGAAATATACTAAATTCTAGAAAGTACATATGTCACATCTGGAAATTATGTATGTATACAGGGTGTCTAAATATTCCGCGTACGTGGAGCTTCTACAGTTTCCTGCGATCGAAATAAGCAGATTTAAGTAAACTTAACTCTATCCTAAGTGGCATCAAAGTTGATAATTTTTTTTATAACTTTGAAACGCGTTTGAAATATCAATTTAACGACAAAATTTTAGAAAACAAACTTATGATATGTTTCTACAGATTAAATGTGTGCTTTGTACGTGAAAATTAGGCGCGAAATTCGAAATAGATCATTGTAACTCTCCCGTGGTTTGACACTCTAAGCGCGCTCTGTTGAAATTAATTCATTTGCGAAACACTAACCCGCTTGACGCTCCATTAATACATACTTAACGCCGCCTAATCCGCCCCCAGTTACTTTAAATCGCGCATTTCATCCCCTAACAGCATTAAGCCTTTCAATCCGCACCTATTCACCCGCCAGACACTTCGCTGCCGTCGTTTCGGTAAACGAGATTGGGAGGTGTATGTATGCTCTGGAGAAGGCTGTAGGTGTTAAAAAATGTTATCTGGATGCCTTTCAAAATGGTAGTAGTGGGTTTGTATCATGACCTGAATGGAGTAACTTGTGCATCAGCATAAGCTTGATGAAATGGGTCAGTCATTCCAAAACTATGTCAAAACCATAATATCTACATTCTTGGAAGCAGTGACATTAAGTACTCAAGGCGTATCTCACATATTTTTCATTAAAATAATAACATATTGTTATGATATTCTAAGTTGAAACGTTAGATAAATAAAATAACATAACGTAATGTTGAAAATGTATACATATTCACGCTAGAAAAAATGAAGGATAAAATTTACATATAGAATAAGTTTGTTTAATAAAAAGGCAAAATCGTTAGATGAATACATCAATCTGTCAAAATAAACTAAATAATGCAAAATTTTGAATTAAAAAGTACAATTTTGTAAAATTAGGTATCATAAAGGAGCATTGGTTTGAGGAAATTTGAAAAATTTTTAAATTTTATCAGGTAGATTGACGAAGAGAGGAGTTACACTTATAAATAAAATTCATGCAATAAAGTAACACTATAATTAATCAGTTTATAAAAACTAGAACAGGGCTCGTAGTAGTCAGTCTTTCATAATTTGCAAAGCTATAAACTTCGTTTAGTTACGCCTAAAATAAACAAAAGCAAGTCAAAATTAAGTAAATACATAATGACCTTAGTTACCAGTTTTGAAACGTCAAACGACATTCAGAAGTAATCTGTCAAAAGTGTAATTTTTTATCAGTTAAAATTTTTCTCAACTAACCAAATACTTACTGGAAACTTATATAATGGGAACAAATGTTATTTAACCAAAAGTGCAAAGTATAAATTGTCAAATAAAAATTAGTGAAGTTCAAACCCTATTTACCTTTGGAAAATCAAGCACATGGGACCAGTTTTACTACCTAGAGCACCTGAAATCCAACATCGACCATCACGAGGATTACGTCACCTGGAAGGCATCTCCAAAACCAGCAATACATAAATGCGTTACAAGAGTTTCATACTTTTAAAAATTGGCCAATTCATAAATGACAAACTGATAACTTTAAGAACGGAAATTGAAGTCCCGTTTCATCTAACAAACTACTACAATATTCATATAGATGTCGCTACAGGAAATACGTTTATAGTAAAAATAGTACGATTATTTCATTCATTCAAATTCCGGCAAAACACACCTAAAAAAAAACGAGAAAACGCCAGGTGCACGCACACGTGCACAATGAGTTGTCCGGCCTATACGTACATCCCACTCTCTTGATGCTATCTCATAATTGCATATGAAAAGAGAAGGGTAATAAAATAATAAAAACTCCAATTTGCGGCCGCCGGTTTTTTGTTCTGAAAATATTTCTATTTTCTATCTTCTACATATTATTATGTACATATTTACAAAAAAGGAGGATGGCAAGTGGTTGTACAAATTTATAATATTTGCAGCCAACTAAGTTTTATTTCATATTATTTTCTACATTTTAGTACTTATATGGATTCGGACCAGAGTAGGTGCGAATGTAATTATTTCTTGTATGGATCTTTGAGCTGTTATCTTTTATTGTTGCGTTGTGGCTGCGAAATATTTTATTTGTGGAGTTTACTATTTTTTATATGAAGGAAAAAACATTAACAGAGTAAGTATTACAATTTGCTAGGCATAGTTGTACTTAGTACTAAATTCAAGTAAATAATAGATATTAAAATAAATATGTAGGTATTGTATTTGATTATTTGAAAATAAAAATTACATATGCGACAATGGACTTTCCGCTTACTTAGCCGTAATATAAATATGACATATTGTCGTTGCAATGCACATACAGGCTGTTCCAATAGTGTGACAAAGTTTATAATTATTTTCAGTTATAGTTGTATAGGGCAAAATCTTCAGGCCAAAAACAAGATTTTCTGAACGTTTAATTCGGTCTGAAAATAATGAATAATGGAAATAATAATAAAATGTGAATCCGAGCAAGTAACTTTTTTCGTATCACTACTACAGGCAGTTATACTAAACTTTATCGCACTATTGTGGCACCCTATATATGACTAGATATATCATTATGGTAAATCAAAAGCATAATAGGTAAAAATGTATAATTATCTATGTTTATAACAAATATTATCTGGTAAAATTCTTTTCTTACTTTCAGATACAGAGACAGTTAAATATAACCGGAAGAAGTCTATATGTTATTTCGTAATATACCTATAGTGGTGAAAACAACCCGCTCTATGTAGAACAAATTAAGAAAGATGAAGAATTATGGAAAAAATCAATGGCAACAAATTTGGAACAATTTTATAAAAATTGTATACTACCAGAAATAATATACAAAAATATTCCACAGGGAAAAAGATGTATGGATCCAGAATATATTATAGAAGCTCAAATTAATAAAAAGAAATAATTTTATTTTATGATTTTTTAAATTTTTTCCTGTTCTACTGTACCTATTCTATTTATTTCTTTATTACTTTCATTTATTTACATATTTATTAAACTACACTGTTCCACAGAATTTCTGTTTATATTGGAGGTATTAAAGTACCTATAAGACAACTATTTTTTCAATTGAAGTGAACTGAATACCTATTTCTCATAAAAAAAATTTAGACTCAAATCGTCCTTTTGTACATAATTCTTTACACATTTTTTGGACAAAATAAGTATATCGTACATATTTTTTATATTTTCTCATTATT